GTTATTCTTTGGGCGTAATCAACCGTCTTGTAATATTAAATTAAAAATATGGCATACACATCGAATATGAAACAAATAGCCACAAAAATCGGTTTGAAATACTCTATGCAATTTATTGATGACAACCTTACTTACACTAGCATTGTCGAACGTAAAAAAATGAATTTTACTCTCGCAACGATATTCTTTCTTAATGTTCATAATAACATGAAATATATTGTTAGCGTTGTGCGGGAACTCAATAATTTTAAAAGCAATAATTTTTTATACATGACCCAAAGTGGGTCTATATAGTGTGCAGTTGTAATTATATAACATCTTTTATTAACTCCTTCTCACATATCTGAAGTTAAAGATATCACAACCCCATATTTTTATAAATCCGCAATTAATAGTTTCTTTAAATTAAGAAAATATTCAATTGTATCAAATCGAAGAGTATTTCGACTTAGACCAACGTACCTCGATTGAAGATATTGTTTGACGTAATCGACGAAATGTTGGTTGTCCGCTATTGCTAGTGGCAACTCCGCCGCGGCAACGAACTTCACCATTTCCATTCGAGCTTACTCCTCCAAATGCATCCACGTAGAAAGTGAAGTAGTAGTAGCACCAGCGCCTGGAGTAACAAACTGTAGTTGCATTTGACTAGCTGGAAGAAGCCCATGTTTGGCCGCACAATTTTTGTAGTGACGGTTGAGGTGTCTAGTTCCAATACCTTTTTATCATGTCGTCGTTGTTGACAGTATTTACATACTGCTTTACTTTCTGGAAGTTCATCGACCACACAACCAGTGTGAACTAATGTAAAATGGTCCTAACATTTTGCCTAATTCTTCTCCTTTCTCTTTCCTCTTGCATCGGAAATATTTCATGTAGGTTCTTCATCTTATTCCAAATCAATTGGAACACTAGGATCAACATCAACACATCCAAATCAATTGGATGACTACCTTCACGAATGTCGAAATCTTGAATGTTTTCTGGAATTGGTAATTCATTGAGACCGGCGAATTCATTCCCAATTTGATTTTGGGCAGGTGTTTCGCCTTCCATGCCGAACAAGTTTTCAATAAATGCTCGTGAATCCATTTGTTAATAATAGAAATTGAATGTTGAAGATTTAAAGTAGAATGTAGAAAATAGAAATGTAGAATTGAGAAGTGAATGAAAATTATGTAGTAGTGTATAAAATGAATTATAAAAGTAAAATCAAGATGATAATGTAAAAAAAATGTAGAAGATGAAGATGATAATAGAATGAAATGAATTGATATTGTTGAATGTTGATAATCTGTAAATTGTAGATAGTAGAGTAGAGAATGAGAAGATTGGTGAGAAAAAATGTTGATTAGAGGGTAGGTATTTATAAAGAAAAAAATAAAAAAAAATTTCGATACCATTATTTTTATTTTTTTTTAAAAAAAACGAGCACACGAGTCGAGCGGCTCGTCTGTAGTACAAGCCGAGCTAGAAGAGTCGGTCTACTCAGCTCGTGCTAGGGCTCGTGCGTCTCGTGGGCCGCTACAATATGAGCCGAGCCGACGAGCAGTTCGACTCGATTAACACTACTAGTTTTGTTTTGTGCTAATAAGCCTTATTAACCGCCAGTAAACAGTAATTTCCCCCGTGTCAGTCCTTCAGACACTTGTCCCCACAAGTCACACCCTTTTATTATTTTAATTTTATGTAACACCGCACCGACCCATAGATACTATCAAGAAATGGGAAGCGCCGCCGCCATGACAACCACTATCACTACGCCGCCGCCGCCGCCACGGCCACCATCACCATGTGGAAGTGGTGGGGCGAAGGCGGAAGCTTTAACGTACATAGACATCACCCAGCTTTCCCAATCGGAATTGCAAGCCCTCTCTTTGTGCTCCGAATCTGCATTCGACCTTCACAACACCGACGACCTTGTGACCCCCGACATCGATCGCTCCCTGTTTAATGAGTCTGCTGGGAGTCGACGGCAGGCTTATTCAGGCCTCCGCCACCCCCACCACCGCTCTCATTCCCGCCTTCCAGGCCTACATCCTGCCCTTAAAACCCACCACCATTCCCACCCCTCCGATGATCCTGTTAATCACTCTATTATCCACTTCCTCAAACACTTCCTCAATGGCAACCACGATCCTCCCCCACCACCTCCTCCTCCACCTTTGCCACCTCAGGCAGAGGTGTCGCCACTTCCTGTTAATGGCCCAGGGCTAGGGTTATTAAGACTTCAAGAAAAAATAAAAAATAAGCTGCATGGAGGAGAAAACAAGCGGAAAAAAGTGCGAAGAAACAGGAATTCAAATAAAAAGAGGCTCTTGGAAAATGGTGTTGGAATGGAATTACAGAAGGTCAATGTGAAGGGTGAGGTGGTGGATTTCGAGAAATTGGAGAAGAATGGAGACGAATTGTTTAGCGAAGCATTGAAGACGAGGACAATGGGGTTGGACACTGAGGAGGGTGTTCTAGGGTTTTTGTCGAGCTTGGAAGGGCAGTGGTGTAGCAGGAGGAAAAAGAGGAAATATGTGGATGCAGGTGCGTTTGGAGATGCATTGCCCATCGGCTGGAAGCTTTTGCTTGGCCTTAGAAGGCGGGATTTTCGCGTCTCTGTTTATTGCAGGAGATGTATAAGGTTGTTGATTTCAAGTACTTTAATTAATTATTCTAGCTATTGTATACATTGTTAAAAAGGCTCCTTTATTGTGTTTTGTTACAGTGCAACGTAGTTGTATCTCTTTATACACGTGGAAAAGACAGAGGAGAGAAACCCTATTAAGGTCTATCTGGGGGTTTTTTAATTAGGGCTAATTGGAAGAGAAATTGGAGCACATTTTGAAATGCTTCTCTCAACTCTGATAAGAAGCTTCGAATTGGAAGCAATGGATCTTTTCTCGTACATTTGGTTAGGAATGTCCTTTATCATATATGTTTAATACAAACCAGGGCAATCTTATGAAATACCTCCTTTTTTAGGTCCAAATGAAAAGTGGCCTTCTTTGGTTTTTCCTTATTGGAAGGCCTTATTGCAAACAGCCTGTTAATCCTTCAAATTTACTCGATATCAGTTGAATTTGAAGAAAACAGGTCAAGTAGAAAGAACTTGAAATAGATTTTTGGGATAGATTACTCAATCTGTTAGGTCAAGTTGCCTTCTCTGGGTAGTCAGTTTTTAAATGTTGAACCTCAATCTTGGTATCTAGTTGTTCTCTTCAATGCACTTCCTGCTCAAGCCCTGTGCTCGTGAACAAGAGAAAATGATCACTCCAATCCTCATTCATTTCTAACAAATAAAACCATTTAACTTTTTTAATGCCATGGCTTGCAGTAGATAACTGAATTAGAAGGATTTAAAGGCTTGATTTTGTCGCCGTTGAGTTGAAAAAGAGCTTTGTCAAATGATTGAATAGCTTTCTGTATGTTTTTTCAGTTCATGTGAGTTAAAAGGCATTTGGGGGATATTAAATAAATTACTGACTTGGCACATGGGACCCTTTTCTTTCGTAAGTAAAAAGAGGGCCTTTATCACTTTTCCATCCAACACAGGCCTATATATGTGTGCGCGCGCGCGCGTGCGTGTTTGATTATGTAGCTTCTAACGTCATAAAATTTACTCAACATTAGTCATTTAGAATTGCTGCATCCTTCATCAATAGTGGAGTACTCCTTTCTAGAAAAAAATTGTAGCTTGTAAACACGTTCGCCCTTTCTCATCGTTTTGTCATGATTTTAGACATTTACTGAACATGATTCAGCAATTCTTATTGTTCTGACCTGCCTCTTATACATGTATATTGCATTACTGTCGTTATACATTATAAAACATCCTGTTTTCATCAGCCTTTTTTGGTTTTTGTTTCTTTAGATGAAACATCTAATTTTGGTCTCATTTCTGCAAAAAGGGAAGTTTGTGACACATAATGTGTTTGTGTGACTTGTAATGGCTGTAATTAAAGCATTGAAAAGGATTTACGAAGTGAAAAACAGGTTTCTTCATTTGCATGGTCTTTGGAGCCTTACCAATTGCATGCTACACACATTTTCCACTTGTCAATTCATTTCTGATTTGAAATTGCTGCAGTTATGATCTTAATCTTACTCGGTCCTTTTGTTATTCCAGCCCTACTGGACAACAATTTATATCATGCAAAGAGGCTGCTTCCTTTTTGCGTTCCTATTTTGAGGGTAATGATGCAGATCAACCAAGGGATCAGAAGACTTGCAGCATTCAGCAGGCGTATGGTGTGGCTATTGAGGTTGTAAGTTTACTTTTATCTCTTTATCAGTTATTTCAGCAGTTTTTGCTAAAATGATAATAATTATGCAACAGAATCCATGTCCTACCGACAAGATTGATGGCTTAAAGCCTGACATACTGGCTCTTTCAACATTGGTGAGTTCAACTCCATCTGATGCTCATGAGAATGATGGTTGCTTGGTGGGAATAGATAACCTCCCTGAAGTTCGTGTTCAGGACATCTTTGAATGTGTCAAATGCAACCTGACTTTTGGTGAGAAGAAAGTGTTCTTGGAGCATCTGTTCTCATTCCACCAGAAGACTACCAAAAGGTACAGATTTGGGACGCCAGTTGGTGAAGGCGTGATAATTAGAGATGGAAAATATGAATGCCAATTCTGTCACAAGGTTTTTGACGAAAGGCGAAGTTATAATGGTCATGTAGGCGTCCATGTAAGGAACTCTGGTAAAGGGTCTGATGAACTGGTTACTCCCGTCACTGTCCAGGAGAACTCTCAATCTCCAGTACAGGAGGCTTTGCCCTCAAGGACATCGAAAATGGATGCTTTAATAGAAATTGCTCAAAATTCTATTTTTGAAAATTCGAAGGGTGGAACTAGTGAACAAGCCACAAGAGATCAAAATCCCAGTATGATGAGCTTAGAAGAAGCTCAGGCTCCAAGCATTGACTTTCAAATGAATTTGGGATCTGATCCTATTGAAATTAAGACAAAAGATTTTGAGCCTGACAAAGTTTCTAATGATGGATTGAATACACATGATGGCCAAGCCAAGATGGAGGATGGGAATTTGGTAAGGAATGATGACACACAGAACATAAATGTTGCAGTCGGTTCCAATTGCGCAAATGATTTTGGGCATGTTGAGTTGAACGAAATTGAAAGTTATGAAAACAGTGAGTTAGAGACTGGTTTTGAAGATGGAGGTTCAAACCCAAGCAAAGATCACATAGAAGATACACCTGGGCTCATTGTAGAAGAAATTAGTTTTCACAATGTACCTTCTGCCTCTTCAGTGCCCCTTGCCCCATCATTTCAGTTTTTTCCTTCCTTTGATTCAATGTCATCTAAGGTAAACATTTGGTTATTAACTTTTAGGTGAAAGTATTTATTAAATGTTGATGATGTTTCTGTACTTGTGTTTCTATTTGGAAATTATGGTAATGCAAAGCTTCTTGGATCTGGGTTCCCTTGAGTTAATTCTATGAAATTAGCTGAATGTAAAGGATCTTGTATGTGATACTATAACATCCCATGAATCACTTTGATTAAAGTCACTTGAATCACATTCATCATTAGAATGTGCATAGAACACACATTATTCAAGTAGTTTGTTCCATCAAGTTTCCATCTGGCCTCCAATATTTTAGTTCAGGATAGTCTCCCCTAACATGAGATACCGGTTCAAGGTCTTGGTTCTTAATTCTTTTAGGTCTCTTGTAGAGATGCATTTTGTGTTTGGTAAATTTACAAATGTGTGGTTAGCTTAAAATATTTTCTTAACAATGTATATTTACCGCAATAATCCTTATACTAAGTGGTCTGCTCATGAGGTATGTGCAATTGACATGTTGCCAACAGCTCCCTGATCAAAGGAGTCCTCCCTACTATGTGTAAGCGCAAGAACCCCCATCATGATATTCACAACTACCCCTTGCAACCATGGAATGGCATCCTTACATGTATATTTTTTTTTTCTTAGGCATGCCTAGCGTCTTGGGGTTTTCTCAATATCCCCTTTTTATGTATCTTTTGAACAATCTCGACTTCTGTGCATGCCAATATTAGTCTATCGTGCTATTATGTGTATGCACACGCATATGCCCAAGTTATGCTACATGCGTTCTTAGTCCATTCCAAATTTTTGTTCATATAGAGAGTACGAATAATGTATATTTATTTTGTGTCATAGTTGACACAAACATTTACTTACCTTGGTCTATAGACAATTTTTGTAAGTTAAAGGTGCTGAATTCCTGCTTTTTGGCTCGAGTTGCAAAAGTTGTCTGTTCAAGACCTTGAAATCATCGTAAAATCACAATAATGGCTGTTTGAGATCGTTGTAAAATCACAATTAATAGCTGTCATGCTTTCGGTATCGAATTCCCCAAATATACAACTGAATATTATTCTTTCGGGGCTTAGAGGATTACAGGTGTCAATACCTGACCTTGGAGGTATGGATACCAGGGCCTGATGGGTTGGAGAAGTTTTGATTTTTTATTTAACCTGTATGGAAATGTGAGGACACTTGCCCTTATTTTTTAGACAGTGCATAATATTCTAATATGCTTACTTGCAGGTGGACCAGGGATTCTCTGTGATTGATCAGAAGCTTGAGAATGTTACAGGTTTTGAGGAGCTGAGATTTGATGATATAGAACCTTTCAGATATGGTTTTGTGAGTGGACAAGAATCACCATCTTTGCCAGGGGGTTCAATAGATTTGAGAAACAATTCTGGGATAGAAGATGGGTTCAATTCCTCTATTAGATTTGGTTCAGAGGAAGTTGCATTGAATGCTGCAGACATAAATCAGCTGACAACTGTGTGTGTATGGTGCAGAACAGAGTTCAAACTCGACGGTGTTGAATCAGAATCTCCATCAGATTCGATTGGCTATATGTGTCCAACTTGCAAGGATAATATCTCTGGGCATTTGAATGGCAGTCTGTCCATGGATCCTGGTGGTTTCTGATTGTTGCACTATCTTGTGTTGCTCGAGGATTACTACTCTCATGTGGTACATGGTAATTCATGCTTGCTAATTGTTGTGATCTTTCTACATCCATTAGGTTTCCCCGAACTTCAATATTTATTGAAATTTAAGTGAACACGAAGAGTAGCGCTAACATTGTTATTCAGAGTAGCTAACATTGTTCTGCTGTGAGAGTTTGTGCTCTTTAGAGTTGGACTGACTGCAATGATGCCCCGAATTGAGCTGAATCAATGTCGGTCACCTTTTTTTTTTTAATAAAATTTGAACTGCTTCTCTCTTCACGTTTCTTTCGTAATGTAAAGAATTTCTAGAAGGACCTCATATGTAACTATATTTTTAGTGGTAGGCATACATGGCTCCTTTATAATAGGACTAGCATATACTTGCAACTTTTGGTAGATATGATGTCCATAGACATATTTGTTGGTTGAACGTTGGACAGAACAATTCCTAAAGACCATACTGATAATTTCCTACTGTCTACTCTCTCTTTAGCAGCAATATGGTGATGATTCTGGTGGCAGACTATTCCAGCTATTGTGGAGTAATGCGTTTTTTTCTCGTGGAAGTAATCGGCCTTTCTTTTATGTATGGATTGTAAATGCAGTTTAACAAGTCATGGATATCAGCCAAGTGTTTGCTTAGTTTGCTTGCTATATATTTCTTCACGGCACTTTCTTGTATTTAATCCTTTCTTCTAATGACCTAGTTCTAAAGAACAAACTCGATTTCTTGTGTTCAATGTAACTAGTATTGTGTATTTGTTCGTCTATGGGCTTTTTCTTTTTGTTTATCCCACATCTTAATTTGTGTAAATATGTGTTAATTATGTCTACTGCTGTCATGTTGGTCTTGATATCTTCAAGCCTGATTGGTATTGTGCTTGGAAATTGGCCTGCTTGCTCAAAATTACTTGAATTGCAGACAGGGGAATAGCTTTGGAGACTGGAATTTTTCCATGGCACCTATCAATTTGGCATTTCTTTACCTAATTATGCATATGTTTAATTTTTATGCTGTAGAACTAGATTAGTGTAATGAGTTGACCTTGTGACTTTATTAAGTTTCAGGCCAAGATTGTAGGTTACCATTATTTCCATCCACAATTTTATATATCAATCCACTTTATATACATATATATAAGAATAATATTAAATAAATTTTATCACTTTAAATTCATCGAGTAATATTTAGGAATAATTGTAGTTGTGTCCCTTTTTTTTTTTTGTCACGATTTTGTTAAATTTTATACGAGAAATAGAAATCATCGTACACAATGCATAAACACGACTATACCTACGTTCTAATGGAAATTTAACAACTAAAATAGTAAAATCAATTACTTTCTGCATCATTCTACTTTACATTAGTATTTTATTATTTATAATCATGTTCAGACATTCTGGTATTTGCTGTTTCATGGCAATTCTTATTAGTCTGTCGAGGCAGAGTTGGGATGGGTCGATAGCTAAGAGTAAAACATTGTCAAAATTTATTACACGAATATGAATAAATTTAGTTGGTCCCAAACTTAACACAAAAAAGGGTTGCTCGTACCTTTTGACTCCTTGTGATTTAACATTTTAACTTGGAGCCTTTTTAATTTCTGAGAAATTCAATCTCAAAACTCTCTTTTATATGTATTCTGATGTAAGGAAGTTTCTAATGCATGTAAATTTCTTCAATTCTGAATATTACTCCATTCTTTTTGTACATTATAAACAGATTTTCGATAGTAATTCTGAAATAAATAAATAGAATCTTGAAAGCCTACCTTTGATCTAGAAAAGAAGAAAAAATGCGTTTCTATTACTTCCAAGGACAGAAATATGACAACTTCGATTGGAAGATATTGCAAGAAAAAATGATTCTAGAATCTGATTCTTGGAGACCAGAAAACAAAAGTAGTATTTCTTTTCCAATAAGTTTTGAGTACCATTCACCATTTATTTTTTTGAATTTGGATTTTATCTGGGACCTACTCAATTATGGATTCTGGGGTTTCAATTTGGATTTTCTTGATTTCAAAAAGAGGTAGGAAAGAAATAAAGAAATGAATATATTATTTTTTAATGGGAATATTCGAGTGATTAAAACAAGGTTGAAGTATTGGGGATAAATTTAATAATTTTTAAAACTATGACAGGGATAGATTTAGAGTGTGATGAATATATACAATGTTAAATGGATAAATTTAGTAAGGTTAATATCGGAATAAAAGTGGATGAATATAATACTTTTTATAAAACTTGAAATTTTAATAGGGATGAATTTATAGTGGGATAGATATATAAAAATTGTGGATGAAAATAGCAGTACCCAAATAGTATCATCTCAATTCAATATTTAAAAATTCCAATCCGGTTCTCTTCCCAGAAAAAGTCCAACTTTATCTGAACCTTCAAAACTGTTCTTGGTAATTTTTATGGCTTTATGCATGTAGCATAAACTATATTATCAAGAAATAATCTATGAATTTAATTATGTATGATGCTGAATCTGTCCAACAATTTGATTTTTGAAATAGTCCAAACTGAATTTCGGCTCCTATAATTATAAGACTTGTTGCCTACTAAGTATTATTCATGTATAAGCAGCATAAAATTGGTCTTAGTTCTGATATGTTACGAGGATACATTTGATCGAATTTCAAGAATCAAAAAATACGGTAAGAAAAAAAATTGCTAATACGCCAATAAACTCAGCAAAATAAAAAATAGAGAAAATGCACTATCGTCACTCTCTTTAAGTCTTAACCTCTCTACACAATTAAAACGCACAAGAACGCTCCTTGTATTAAGCTTCCTGATGTATCTCAACTCTCAGTAATCAGGCAAAAGCAAGAGATATGAGAACAAGGAAACTTAGGAAAGATTTATGCAATGCAGGCACTGTGGGTTGAAGTTGCTGGTGTCTCTTCAGGCACGAACTTTATGCTGTCCAATGTGGAACTACTACAATACTTTAAATATCACAGCAGCTGGTTCCTCCTCCTGCACATGGACAGAAACGAGCTGTTTTGTGTGGCGTTACAAGGGATATCCAAAGATTATCAAGGGTAGCATCAATGACGTGTGATTGATGAAAAATCTTCAGGTTAAGAAGTTGGGTTTTCCCAATTCTTCCATCCACCTGCTCACAGGTACCACCAGCTTTCTCCAAAATCTGTCCTGCCAAAATAGTCTTTCTATATTGCCTAGACAGCTCGAAACTAGTAATGTTATCTACAGTCCCCCTTAAGCAAATAAGACCTTTATAATAACCAAACCACAACTTCATAGTTCAATAGTAGTACAATATAGTTCAAGATATGCTAGCTTATATATTGGATGATTCAAAAATTTATATTCAATGCGTCTTCCATTACCTTTTCGTGGATGGCCTAGTCCAGCTGAGCAAAATATTATTATGAGCTATTTAGGATGACTGTTCTTTTATCAGTAATTTTTAAATCAAACAACTTTCTTCTCTAGCATAAACTTGTAATTTATTATACAAAACATAAATCTCGAATATATTCCCATCTAGTTTCTTAATACATTTATTAGTTATCATAGAATTCCAATTAAACTATTAGATTAATTTATCCAAGAACACCAGAAGAGCAAGGACAAAAAGGGAAAAAGGAAAACTTACTTCTGATATGAATTTTTATAGAGTATTACAGGTGAGTTTTATGTGTCATGATTAGGTTTGACACTTTATTTAATCTAGGAAATTTTTGTTTAGTAACTCAAGATTTCAGATCAAGATTTGTTTAGACACAAGTGATGAACTTTGTCTCCCTAACCTTCTCGCATGAGATTATGAAGCCAAACTGTTGGCTAAACTGTGTCTGCACCTCTGTATCATGACTGTTGAAGTTTGATGGACTGCTTCTTTGAAGTAAATCCATATCATCAGAATCTGCTCAGATTATGAATGAGGATTGAACGATGAATATCTATACAGTCAACGGGGGTTGAAGCAGGTGTGGATTAAGAAACATAGAAAAATGAGAATAGGCACAATATCGTTATTGGATCAAAAGATTAAATTCTTCTCGTGCATTAGCTTCCATGTTTTCATACTGCTTCCTTGGAAATTCTGGTTGTCATTTCAACATTCTTTCACATTTCAGTAAAAATACCATTTTATTCAAGTAATGTGGCTAATAGAATGGATATTCATCACCTGTACAACATATAATCTGATTGGATAAATTTTTCTCAACTACTATCAAACATTGGAAGCATGCAAGACAGAAGTATTAGGGAACTCAAAAGTGTCAAGGACTGAACATCAACTACATTGATCTAAAGACACCTAATGTACCATGGGAAACCAAATTTTATTTACTTAGGTAACTTAAGGATCTACACTTCATAAGTGATCAATGTTTCAATTTACATGTTTGTGCAGGCTTCACAGGTTTTGCAACTGGTGCCCTAACTTACAGCTTTGTTCAAACTTTAGAACAAGAACCAGGACTAACTTATGGACGTCTACTGATTGCTATGCATGTAAAGATAAGTAAAGCACAAGGAGAAGGAAGCTTGAAAGAGGCCCATTCATCACAGGTATGCTTTTATTAGTTTGGCGTGGTTATTTTTACATGGATGCAGCATCATTAAACAATTATAGCCTAGTGTAGTAAGTAGTGACTGTCGTTGGAGCAAATATGGTACTA